CCACTAAACCTGTAACTTTAGGCTGTTCATCATTGACTGACTTAAAATTGCAGTGTGATTCCCTGACTTATGTTCTCTATAAGAAAAAAGCCACAATGGCTTTTATTCTTCTTGAAAAGATTGAGAGGGCTGTTGATGAATATACATTGAACATACACGTGTGTAGCTTGTGGCTGCCACCCTGCTGTAGTTGTATGGGCCTGCACCACAATGGGGTTTTCAATTAGACAGACAGGTAGACGGACGGACGGCGGATGGACGGATGGACAGATAGTTAGTTAGATAGTTAGATAGATAGATAGATAGATAGATAGATAGATAGATAGATAGATAGATAGATAGATAGATACTTAATTGATCCCAAAGGAAATTTAGCAGCCAGTAGCAGTCACACAACACAGGACAATTATAATAATAAGGGTGATACAATATAAAAAGAAGAATATAAATAATATAATATAAAAATCCTATCTGCAGGCATATATACAACTAGAACTATACAAAAATCTGCAATAAGAGCTATAACCCGAGATGAAAAAGGCAGTACAATAATGACTGTACAAGGAGGCATGAAAACAGGTTCAATGTCCTTAGTACATACAAAACATTCACTAAATTAGCAATATAAGCGTTCAGAAAAAGAAAAAGCAAGGAAAAAGATTCTTAGTATCATTTTCATTCTTGACTTTGTGTGTGTGTGCATGTATTTACAGCCCTAATAAGAATTTTCTTGAATTTTTTAAACTTCTTCACGCAACATAAGCCTGTATGTTTGATGCTGGCGATTACAATGTGATTATTGACATTTCAATACCAAGAATTAAAACAATAATATTACTATAACCAATACTATTGCTAATGCTTTAACATATGTAATAAGATACATTCAAATACTACTAATGTAAAATAATAATAAAAAATAATAATAATAATAATAATAATAATAATAATAATAATAGTGGAACTTAGAAGTTAGGCTACTAGCTCTCCCCTGCTCTTGGGATTGAGCTGGTATTAAATGACCCATGGCTTGTGCCAGTCCACTGCCCTGTGGCTGGGAACCCGTGGTGTAGAGCAGTGGTCAGCAACCCTCTTCCTGAAGATCTACCTTCCTGCAAAATTTAGTTCTAACCTGCATCTGATATGCTTATCTAACAGCTGATCTGGCCAATCATGCACTTCTGAAGAATTTACTTAGCTGGAGCTGGTCTAACAACTGCCCTCTAGTGGACACTTACTGGAAATTCCAACACAGCTATACTGTATTTCTGAACTGCATTTAGTGTCAAACTGCACATTTGCATTTGGAGGCTGGACACAATATACACCCACAGACCAGCACATATACAAAAACACATCAAAAGCCATTCTTTTATTTTATGGACAAGGATAAATCAAGGATTGCTTGATTTACTGCAGATGGTACACAATTCAGACAAGTTCATAAAAAACACTACAAACACAAGACATATCAAAAATAAAAACTCAAAATCTCTCATTTCAAAATTAGTATTATTAACTCTCCTCTTGACATTATAATCATGGTTATGTCATGTTCTAATTAGGACTCTGCATATTTAGCAATAAGATATTTGACTGTTTACAACAAAAATCTCCATGTCAAATTATTGTTACAGCTGTTATTCATGAGCATTGGTTTAACCTTTATCTGTCACAGATGCACTTTATGTCCAAAAGTGTCCAGACACCCCTTCTAACGAGGGAATTTAGCTATTTTAAGGTGCACCCATTACTGACACAGGTGTTCAATTGTGCACACACTGCTATAATCCCCATAGAAACATGTTGCCAATAGAATAGGACACTTAGGAGCAGCTGCACACGAGGTCGCCATGCCCAATGCCAAGTGTCAGCTAGAGCCCCCCAACATTGGGCTGTGGAGCAGTGGAGCTGTGTTCTCTGGAGTGATGGAGCTCCATCCAATACTTTGGGATGAACTGGAGTGATCCAGAACTGACCATCCAACATCCTCACTAATGCTCTTGTGGCTGAATGCCATGTAGTACAAAGCCTCCCCAGAAGACCAGAGGCTGTTAAAATAGGGACAAACTCCATATTAATGTCCTTCATTTCAGAAGAAATGTTGGCTGAGTAGGTATCTGCAAACTTATGGACAAACAGTGCATTTCGCTTTCATAATCTATTTATTTTATTTCAATTGTACAAAAGCAAAAAGTCCTTCGTTTGCAATGGAGACCCCTCTTTGATCCTTTAGAAGCACAAATGCAATCAATAAAGCACCACTTCACCACACAAGAGTAATGAAACAATTGTACAAAACAAATCTGTATTACACAAGTAAGAAGAAGCGCATCAAGCAATAACCAGTTAAATCAGTTATACAAAAGCTACAGCACATTGGCAGTTTTCCACTGAAAATGATTCCAATGATCAGATTTTACAATGTCTCTTCATTTAGAGGAATACTCCAACATTTTTAACCTAATATTAGTCTGCTGCAACTGCAGCAAGCAGTTTATTACTGCAGATAATTTCTCGTTACTTAGAAAAGCACATCTATAATAGAAGCCAATGTGCCTGTGTCAGCGACAGAATCCTCTAGTTTAGGAAATAACCGCACTACATGGTTAAACTAGGTTGGGTTTGGGTGGGACTCTTTACTTTACCTTCTTTTAATTCCACAGGGCATTTACACACATAGCAATAATAATAAAGATAATAAAGATAATAATAATACAAGCAACACTTTATCTTCTGGTAATCTTGAGACGGTTCCTAACTCTGAAGCGGCCATAGGAACAAACACGTGCAATGCCTTTGATAGTGTGTGAGTCGAGGGTTCAACTTAATCAAATAAAAGAACATAATAAAGTGCAGTTCAGTAAATGCTGTGGTTGTAATATACTGTCATCTTTAATTTGGCCTTGAAACTGTAATAATCAATAGAATAGAATGTGAAGTCATGCAAACTTTAGCGTCCAGAGCTGTTTTGTCCGTGGTGTTTGTGGCTATCCATTCGCCTGATAAGAAACCTGAGACTAGGGCTGGGAAATATGACAATATTTATCGTTATTATGATAAATTACATCACAATATGCTTTCCTGAACATATCGTCAGTACGTCCCAACTGCATGTTTCATCACAAATAGAGCATAATTAGGCCTTTTTAATTGGATTTAGTGCAGCGCAGGATATGAAAATAATTGTATTCATATTTCTTGATAGTTTTTTTTTAAAATTTGGCACAACTTTGTCTTTTCAACTTATCGGATGTCAGAAAAAATAAATATTGTTACATATTGTGAAAACGTCTTGATGTATTGTGATGTGACATTTCTGCCATTTTGTGAGTTTTTACCTGAAACCCAAAGCTGTATTGTCTGGGATTTGAAACCCAACTCTGTGGTCTGAAGATGATAAAATGTACCATGTACCATAGGCAGCTTTTTGTACAATGCACAGCCCCCTGAGTTCAACCAGCTCAGATTAACAGCCACATTTCTGGAACTCATCTATGCTAGGTACAATAATTGTGGTGGTAATGTAGGATATCACCACGTGTTTAAAAGTCATGTTCATGTGTTTGAACAACATCTAAATCAGTTTTTCCCACGACTGTATTCTGTTTCCGACACTGGGCACAGGCCTCGGCTGATGCTTCGGCATTGTTGGAGTGTTTTTTTAAAAAAACGGCTGTTCAAGTTCAGCCCAAACTGTGGGAACTTAGCATGTCAGGTTATCACTTGCATAAGTGATCTCCAAAATGGTAACCTTATATTTTCATTAAATGAATGTTAATCTAATGGGACTGTATTTTATATATTTACACGCGCACACACACATGTGTACATACATGTGTATGTACTATTGAAACAAAACCTGTCATTTGCATTTTTGTCATTCTTTACTGTTTTTGACATAATTGGAAATCACCAGCTTCCCTTTACATTGTATATATATATATATATATATATATATATATATATATATATATATATATATATATATACATATATATACTTAACATTGATGGTTCTTTAAGGGTTCTTTAGTAAAGAAAATTATTCTATATAGAACCGTGAACATGCAAAGAACCCTTTGCATGATTAAAGGACTCTTTGCATTGTGAAATTGTTCTTCATATTACCAGAAAATGTGCTATAGATGGTTCTATATAGAAACTTTTTGAAAAGGGTTCTACATAGCACCGCACAGTGTTCTTCTATTGTTACGAAAGTCAGGTTTGTCACCCTATTCAAAAAGGCTAGAACCATCTACAGCGCATTCTCCATCAGTCATCCCTTTAATCATGCAAAGGGTTATTTGAGGTTTTCACGGTTCTTTACAGAACCGTTTTCTTTACTAAAGAACCCTTGAAGAACCATCATTTTAAGTGTGTATATTATGGACCAAATCATTGTTTTATTCATCTTTAAATATAAAGATATAATATATATAAACATATTAAATATAATATTATATTTATAATATATTATAAAGAATATAAATATATATATCATTTTTATATTAATATAAAGAGCTGCGAGTGCTTTCAAATGAGCTATAAGATCTTGATATGACAGCGACGTCATACGGTAAACAAAGCCTATAGTGTGCAGTAACTATACTGTAAACCTACTGGAATGTGGTTTTATTACACACACCATTAATCTCTTCATAGAGAAAGATGTCAGATGACACAGAAGACCCATTTGCTGATAATTAAAGAAATGATGAATGTCTTTCATTGTGTCTTAAAGCTGTAAAACATCTTATAGAAAACTTTCCCATAGATAGATAACATCTCCGAACTGGAGAGGGAGGAAAGAGGTGAATGCAAGTTTAGTCCTGAAGAAAAAAAAAAGTTTTCACACATCTGAAAAAGAAACCTAAAAAGCTTTTCAGTCTGTTCCAGCTCAACAATACAGATTTTAAAGGATAAGCGAAAAGTGCACTTGTAATCAGCAGAACCAATTCTTGTGGGATTTAGCACAGACAAAAACAGATAAACAGAAAACTATTTACAGAACTTTTAATTTCCAGTGTGTCATCAATGATTTATTTCTCATCACCTGCTGGGAGTGCATAAATATTAGGCACTTGGGCAACGTATGTGTGCATTATTTTATTCAGTGAAAAGTTTCTGCACTTAAGTACAGCAATAAAACATTCTTGGCTTGGACAATGAAAAAAGGCAGTTCGGAAAACTGATTTATTTGTCTGTTTGTCTTTGATAGAAAACATATCTCTATTATCTGTCATACGAAATGCACACAGATGTGCCAAAGCTTCATGAGCTCATTACATGAGTCATTCTCTAAAAAAGCCTTCTTTGATTGTATGTGAACTCGCTCTATTAGCAGGACGAGCTGCTCTGCTTTGCGCTTGAGGCATATTTATGTCACAGTGCATCAAAGGCTTAATGCAAAGGAAAGCATTTATAACCCGAGTTGCGTACGGATCAAACTTATGCTTTAAAACCACTGAAATATAAGCAGTTGATGACTGCGTTTAGGATACAAGTGATAATTTACTTTCCTCATCTTTGGTAGCTTTAGGCTGGCTTTACATGGTGAAACGTTCATGCAGCTTGAAACAGTTGCTTGAAACCTACACGAAACTAAACTGCACCTGAGTAGAATAAATTGTCCTGCAACTCATTTGAAACTCGGCCGCAACAACTGCAACCATCTCAACTTTGTGGAACAATTTTGATGAAACAGCTAACGAAAATGGCAATAACGAATCATGGTATCACGTCGAACGACATACCATCGAATTATTGATTTTACCAGATCAATGGACAAGAAAGTAAACAGAGGATGGTTTATTGAGTGGCTGAAAGGTAGTTTTATATTTAGTTTCCTGATTCATGATAACAAATGTGAGTTTTTTAAAGCTAATGCTTCTGTAACCAACTGCGTTAACTAACCAGCTAATGTGAACACCTGTTTAAACAGCTGCTTGTGCCACCTTTTCCTCTTCTTTAGCTTGCTCTCATGATTTACTTACTGTTTTCTCTTCTTTTGATGTCCCTAATTTTACACAGACCTCTGATTTATTTGGGATCCAAATTTTGAAATTCTTACAGAATGGGAGACTGAGATGTGCTCAACGATGAACTAGTTGTTCGTCTACACTCTTAAAAAGATGGTTCTTCAACGGTTCTTTAGTAACCAAAATGGTTCTATATAAAACCATGAATACTCACAGAACCCTTCGCGTGAGGGTTCTTTGCATTGTGAGAGTGTTCTTCAGATTGATGGAGAATGTCTTGTAGATGGTTCTATACAGAACCCTTTTTGAACAGGGTTCCATGAGCACCAAAAAGGGTTCTACTATTGTTACAGGCCAAAGAACCCTGTTTTGGTACTATATAGAACCTTTTTTTGGCTAAGATTGTAGGACAGAATGAGTGAGACATCAATTAGGCTACAGAATGTAATGGCTAATTAAATATTCATTTTCAAAAGCTTACCATACACACAACAAGTATACAGTAAACGAATCATAAACAGATAAAAGACAGATACATACATTTAGAAACAAACTAAAATATGCAAATTACACCTAATGAATGACTTTATATAGTGGTTACGATATGTATCAAACATACCAGGTGCTGATTTGTGGAGTAACTGAATATGTTGCGTGCAACTTAGTTTGCATGGAAATTATGTTGCAGGCAACTCACAGCATGCAACTTGTTGCATGAAAGTTTCACCATGTACAGCCAGCCTTAGATGTGTTCATACACTTAACAGTCTACAAAGGCTGAACACCATCATTCGGATTGTGGCTGCTTGGTAGAGATGCTGCTTCTTGTACCCATTAAATAAAATAGCACTCATGGGCTTCGGAACTCCAGACATATGTGACTCACTCCGATAACTACAGTTGGGTGGTACTGATCCAATTCAATATCGCAATATTTAAGCATTTAATGATATTTAAGATTGTAAAGATAAAGTTAACCCATGCTGACTGAGTATTGCATACTCTGTAAATACCCAGTAAATATTAACTAAACAGAAAGGAAACTTACTGTTTATTTAGTTGTAGGTAGTTTTAACTGTCCTTTCAAAACAATTCAAAGCAACAAGCAAATGACAGATATTGTCGTTATCTGTTGTTACCTGAATGCCATGTGTAAAGTGCACAGAGTTAGAAAATTAGAATTAGAAAGCAGAAAAACTTGGCAGCAGGAATACTGCAGTTTTATGGAGTAAAATGTTTTGCATATGATGCTCATTAATTATCAATACCACTAAAATACCACTGAAATAAATGTCATGGTGTAACACCAATACTGGTATACTGATATTGATTATATATATCGCACAGCACTACCCATCACCGTATTGTTATTCATCATTTTGCACTGTTTTCCACACAGTTACTGAGTAAAAAGCCTTAGGAAATGCTTTGTCTGTGAATTTTAAGGAGTTAAACTGTATTTTACGTAGAACTAAATAATGTATTTAACTAGTTAAATGGCCAAGAGCCACCAATGGGTCCAGACTACCTTTGCACAGTTTTTCACGTAATTGCTAAGTAATGAGCCTTAGAATGTAATGAGATGGTTAGTATGTGAATGAAGGAGGATTTACGTTACATTAAATGGCGGAGCTAGACTGGAAGCTTTTCTCAACGACAGAAATCCTCTCTTCCCGGACTTTTTGGTGAGTCCCACTGTGTGGGACAGTCAAAAGAGGCACATCATGCTGCGTCACCGTGAGACCATTCTGGGTTCCTGTGAGCCCCCTGCTGAGCTGAAAGCTCTGACCTTCACTGATGCTGGAGCCCTGCCTGGGACGTACAGACTCAAGAGTCTGCACCCGTCCGCTCTCCACAATCCGAACGCTTCCAGACCCAATCTCGGAATGTCCGAGGAGAACTTGAGGCCCGCTGGCTTCAACTATTGCAGCTTCTCTCGCCCGCTGGCCAGTCTTTTCCACCAGCACCTTGTTGTGGGTCTGCTTTAGACCTAGTGTGGACGCTCCCTGGGCAAAGTCTGCTCCCCTTTGCTCCACCAGCACCACATTCTCCTGCATGCCCATCATAGGTGAAGCAGCAACCAGCAGGGTGGATTGAGGCTTGGGGTCCACCACATAGACCGGCGTAGAGGTGTAATACACAGCTGGCTGTTGGATTAGCAGGGTTTGGCTGGGAACGTTATGGGTTAGCACACCTGCTGCGGATGTGCTGCTCCTCTGGTGATAATCAGTGGCTGTAATATGAGTGGAAGAGGCAGAAGTAGATGCAGAAGTTGAAGCCGAAGCAGAAGCATAGGTAGAGCTGCTTGCCCCAGCATGTGAAGCACCCATGGTACCTTCTTGCCTCACACCCAGATGTGCTCCAGCCTGAGCTGATTTACGTGCTGGCGGCTTTGTGACCGAGCTGACCTCAACATCGATGGCCGAGCCATGGCACAGCTCAGCCAACGTCTTGAACTGCGGCCCAAGGTCATTGAGGAATGCCAGGTCGTCTCCTTCGCTCAGTTGGCTGCAGATGTCCTCGAATGAACCATGTAGTGAAGCACCGTCGCCTTCAAACTCGTACATCAGCAGGCTGTCGCTTGCAGCACAGCCCGTCATGTTCTTCAACTTCTGTATTAAAAAACACAAAACTATTCAGCATCGAGCCTGGCACCAATAACGGTAACTTACAACAGTGATTTACACTTCAAACTTTATCCAGCCAAGAAAGTGACTCATTGCTGTGAAAAAACATTACATCTCCAAAATAGCAACCTTGAGGAAAAGCAAAAAATGTTCATAACTTAGTATCGCACGCCAGGCTTAAGCCAATAATCAGAGAGTTGCTTAACTGGACATTCTGGACCAGAACTAGAATTTAGTATGTTATTTATTGTGTTTTTGTCTGTTTTTGTCTGCCCTGTGATGGACTGGCGACCTGTCCAGGGCGTTTACTGTTTTGCCTTCGGCCCAATGACTGCTTTTAGCTTGTTGACCTCCTCATTTGAGTCATTTCTGTAATTTGAGTGATCTCTCCATTATAATGATGATTTTAGGAGTTATTACTATTATACGACTGAAATAAGTCTCTCCTGTATTGACCAGCTAATGAAAAACAGCCCCTCTCATCAAATGTCACTTGCAGTTTTTCAAAGTTTTTCAAAAGTATTTGTTTTTGTTTAAAATTACTTTTTAAATGGTTCACGTATTCAGTGCCTATTTTGCTGTTGCACTTTGGCGTATTGCCCAGTTCAGGTCATAGCAAAATGATAATTAAGCGTGTACACACAGATGTGTGGATAGCCAGTCAGAATGCAACTGACAAAATCCAGACAAGCGTGAAGAGATTCATTTTCAATAGATATCAGAAGTTAAAAAGGTACTTTAATTCTCTCAGTTTATTAATTATAAAGTAATTGTACCATTTCTAGTGATCGATTTATCATTAAGTATCAAGATATAAAAAAAAATTGAGATGTTTTCTTACAACAGTGATGATTTTTAAGGGTCACACTGAGCATATTAAAAAAAAAAAGTAGCGCAGAAGCAAACAATGCTTGAAACGAAGGTTTCTGGAGGTTTCATTATAATTCATTGCTCACGTAAGATGGTCTTTAGTTTGAAAAGCTGTTTCTGGAGGCTGGGATTTGTACAAAATGGGCTATTTTTAAACCACAGCCCCTGCAAAAAGACATTTACATGAACAAAAGGGGTAAGGCAGAATAATGAGAGCTAAATTAGTGTTACCATCATTCTGTGGGGTGTGAACATTCCTCCAGGCCACTTAACATTTACTTTTCCTGCCTTGTTGCAAAAGTGATGGATTTTTCAACAAAACTCTACAAGTCTGCCTCAGGAAACGTTTAAGTACAGGTTCATTTGTTTCAATATATAATCCCACTTGAACGTCTTGCCATTAAAGCCAAATCCTATCAGTGTATGACATTCTACTGTCGTATATCTTGAAGCTATTTGCATTCAGGCTGTGAAGCAGGGCTGGACAATACTGACAACATACCATATATCAAGGGGTGGAAGCGTGAAGGGTGTTCTAGTTCAGAGCTTGAAAACCTAGGCAACTAGCTCAACCTACAGCTTATTCAGCCAATGAAAAGTCCCGTTGCTGCCATAGGGTCTGCCCACCCATTCTCCATGGTAACGTCTGTCAGTATGCCATATGTTTGGAACGTGAAATCAGCCAAGAAACTTTGCAATCGGTCATAAAAGTGCTGCTTCATTTTCTGATTTTCTTCACACATTGTTGGAATTTGACTGAATATGTAGTCTACCCAGTGTTATTAATGTTATATATCACAGTATCAGATAATGTAGAAGTTATCATTAATAAAGTTAATGAGCCCATGCCTCCTGTTCCTCTATATCAAAAGAATGTCTTACAAACCCTGATAGCTTGTTTTGATTACACTGTTTTGTTCCTTTTTTCTTGTTTTTCTTACGTCTTGTAAACAAAGTAACTTACTATCCTTTTCATTTTTTTTCCCCAATTTCCTCCCTGATTTAATCATATCCAATTCCACCCACTAGTTAGGACTCCCCCAGTCACACGATACCACCAGCGCTAGGATGGAGGCTAGCACAAGCTTCCTCCGAGACCTGTGAAGCGGCACTGCATCTTTTCGAACTGCCACTACCATAATGTTGCTGGACAGCTGAGCGCGCTTGGAGGACAGCGCCAACCACCAGATCTGTTACATCAGCTAACAGACGCCTGTGCTGGCTAGCATCGCGTTGGGTGATGGGGGAGACCGGGGGCCATCCTACCCACACAGAGAGAGCGAGGCCAATTGGGCTCTCTTAGACTCCCAGCTACGGATGGCTGTAGCATCACCAGGGATTGAACTCACAATATGATGATAGGGCCAACATTTAGACACTTGCACGACTCGGGAGCCCCACTTTTACGGAATTATTCTTTTAAAACAGTCTGAAACCATCAGCAGGCACTGCGGTTCCGCTGTCAGGTCCTGGATACCATGACTAAAGTGTGTAAAGTAAAAACTAGCCACTGGGTAACAAGGACACCACTTTTTTATGGGCATTATAGTATGTTTATAATATTTATTGTCTGCCAAATACCGTGTAAGCTAAAAACATCACTAACACTAATAAGTATGAAATGATATATTAGTATAGACTATATTAGTATCCTGTATCACTTAGCCCTACTGTCAACATAAAAAAGTACTAACCTTTGAATAGTAAGAGGACAAGAACGCTTCAGACAGTGCAATGCCTTCAAAGGCCCCCAGCCCCTGAAGGTCATAGTATGTCTTGAATGCCATTGAAGAATCCATAGTACTGTTAAAGTCTTTGCCGTACTGGTGATAGTACCACTCTTCCCAGGTGTTGAACATCTCTCTTCCGCCGCTTCCACCTCCGGCCCATGCCCCATTCCGCTCCCCTCTGCTCCCCACTTGGCCAAATTGACCCCCAGAGTCCAGCTCTGTGGGGATTTGTAAGAGCGGGATTTTCTGTTGGAGTACAGGGAGGCGATTAGGTCAATCAAATGAAATTCTGCTTATCAACATTTTATGTATATTGATGAATACTCTAGGTATCCTCATGTATATTGATAATGACAGCATTCAACTGCGCCCCTTTTAGAATGTGAAAAATAATATCAAAATGTCAGAAATGATTAGAATAGATTATAACAATATTCAGTTAATAAAAGTATTTAAGTACATTTTCGCTGTTTTTCACCAAAACAAACGTTTTATACCATAAAACTCCAGAAAAGCATATGCATATGGGGCTGGGTTGTTAATTGTACCAAATCGGTTAAATAAATTAGTTAAATTAGTTAAATCAGTTTAATTTCAGTTTACATTAAGGGTAAGCTCCACTCTAGAGAAGCTTACTGAGTCATAATTGCTCACAGTGGTGGTGATAGGAACCAGATGTCTGAAGCCTCCCTCACAGAAACGGATTACCTGCAATGGTTACAAACTTGCTGCCTGATGTCTGAGACATTGTTTTACAATAGTTTAATAGATAAGCTTTTGTCCTGAAATGAATTTCCTAAATTCCATTCCTGGTGGGGAGGTACACTCAGTGTGGTATGAGGCAAAATAGCCCCCAAAGAAAACAAATTTTTCAGGTTTACCACTATTTATCAGCATCAACATTACATATAAAACCTGTGAAGACACGTTTAGGTTAACTAGCGGTTAAAAGTGGCTATATCTGTGTTATAGACATTGGGACCCCTGGTTCCTATCACCACCACTGTAAAAATGTCTCTCTACAATGAACTATTTCACATCAGAACACTTTGTTTAAAATCAACAGTTGAATTATGCATCAATTTTGAGAAGTCAGTGGAATTCCCCTTGAACCCCCCCCCCTTTATTCAGTGATTCAGAAACCTTAAGTGGCCCACTACAGTCTGAAACATGTAAACAAGTAAACTGCAATGCATGCAGCAGACCTCTAAAAGCCAGCATGTAGTTCTATCCACACTACCTTATCCTCCCCTTGGCCTTCAGTGTGATAGGTGATGAGGTTTTGTGTTTGGTCCACAGGGAAAGGTTTGAAACCCGCGATAGCTGCGGCTCCTCCACACACGCAGAACAGCATGAGCAGCGGAATCACTGCAAGTACATTCAACACTTCTCAGTATTTCACACTTTTCTCACTGCATGGATTCATAAGGTTTCTTTTCTCAGGTACAGCAGGTTCAATACTCAGTCTGCCACAAGAAGCTCAAAGTTATCCCTTAGAAGAGGAGGGTTATACCTTCATTTTTGCTGTACTGTTCAATTGAAATCACATAACACTGTTGTCAGAAGAAAACCTTGTATCTCCAAAATGGTAACTTTATAGGAGGAGGAAAAAACCTACTTCACTTTTAATGTAAGTCAATGGAACCAGACGTTTTACCAAGTCATTTTGGGTCATATTTTTTGGTCCATTCTTCATGAAATTTACACACAATGTAAAGGGCAACAAGTATTTTCAAATTATGTCAAAAACTGAAAAACAAGGTTTTGCTCCGATAGCAGCGATAATGAAATATTTATATACGCAGTAAGTTATGTAATTATATACACTTACATTTAATGCTAATTATGTTCTGTTTACATTCAATTTACATGTACACTTTGTCAAGCTAAGAGTGAGAAATAATTATACAGTCATGTGCAAAAGTTTGAACACCCCTGGTCAAATGACATGTTTTGTTGATTTTGAAGTTAAAATAAGTGAATACACCCTCTACAGGGAACACACTTAAATATGACATTTTCCTGCCAATTTTAACACACAATTTCTATTTGCTGACTGAGTTTAACATACTGGGGAAAAAAAACATGAAATATAAAATGTGCCAAAACTTTTGCACAGACTACATTTTAAATTTGTTTTTTTAAGATGTTAAAAACAGCAAATACACCATAATTGTGCATTATAATGTGTAGAATCGTGTTCTCTCTGTAGAGGATGTGTTCACTTATTTTCAACAAAACATGTCATCTGATCATGTTCATATATGTAAACATTTAGAACTGACGAATGATGGACCGATGTTTGTGTGCAGACAGAGGTAAGTGCACTCACACAGCAGAAGCAGCAACCCCAGCAGCATGATAAGAACTCCAGCTGCTCCCAACCTCACATCCGAGCTCGTCCGTCTCTTCGGAATACACACCTTCGCCTCGTCACACGTGCACACGGACAGGTGAATGACCTGATTATCGCTGCAGAACTTTCCTTGCTGGTCCTGCACCTCCAGGCCCATCGTGTAGTGTCCAGGCCACAGGACCTCCTGAGACCGCAAAATGGCCGTAGTTTCTGAAAATGAAAACAGTCAACTACACAAGAGACTATCGGAAAAGAGTAAAAAAGAAATAATGAAAATAATTCTAATGAAGAATGGAAGTAGATATCATAGCAAAAATCTACTTTACATAATTTTCCTCTCGAATCTTAAATGTAATCAGTCAGCTAAGACATTAAGTACGGTGCTGTGCAAAAGTCAGAGACCACCCTTTCTTTTTTTTCCAGTGCGCACTAGAGTGCAGTTTTAGGGATGTAGTCTAAATTTATAACTGGGAGTACTTAGACTGTGATAAGTGGAAAATGCAAACAACTTCTAAGACTGAACTTTGGAAGTGTGGAAAAATATCCCTGCAGATTTCCTTGGATGACTAAAGGAAAATGAATGAAAAGAACGGAAGCTGTAATAAAGATAAAGTGTGGATACACTGAATATTACGGAAGTCTGGAGAGGCCATGAGGTAATTATAATTTTCTAGACTGTTGTCTTGAGTTAACTATCTTGTGATCTTAGGCTCACAAAGTTGTTATCTTGAGATAACATGTTAATTGCCTTGTGACCTCAAGATAACATAGTTGTTATCGTGAGAAGAGTTAATTTACTTGTGTTATCTTGAGTTGTTGTCTTGAGATAACAAGTTAATTATCTTGTGATTTCAAGATAACATAGCAGTTATCATGAGATAAAGAATTAATTGTATTGTGCTATCTTGAGTTGTTATTGTGAGATAATGAGTTAACTATCTTGTGATGTCAAGATAACAAAGTTGTTATCGTGAGATAATGAGTTAATTTTCTTGTGTTATCTTGAGTTGTTATCGTGAGATAATGAGTTACTTATCTTGTGATCCCAAGATAACAAAGTAACAGTTATCTTGAGATAGCGAGTTCATTATCTTGAGATCTCTAGATAACAAAATTGCTAACAAATTTGTTATCTTGAGATCACAAGATAATGAACTTGTTCTCTCAAGATAACAATCCAGAAAATGTAGCAACAGCTCATGGCCTCTCCTGACTTCTGTAAAATACTGAAAAATCAGATATTAGTTTTAGTTGTTGAGGCTTCTGTGTAAATTTCTGTTAAATGTGTTTCCTGCATTTTTTCCTGGTGCTAAAAAATAAAAAACTTGTAATTAATGGCTGTTTTGATTGTAACTTAAATAAATGAAGGGGGTTTCTGACTTTTGCACAGTGCTGTATGTTGCATGGCCAAAAAACGCCAGTTCCAGTCATCCTGAACTCTGAATTCTCCCTGTACTGTCGTGATGTGTGAAGATAACAGCATGTCAAACTACTAAAAGCCTCATAAGTGAGTCTATTTGAGATGAATGAAAACTCAACAGGCTTTGAGGCCAGTTTGTGATGATTTGGACACGCAGTTTGTATGAACTGTTGGCATAAGCTTCCATTACCTTTGCATTATGACAGCCTTGTAGCTCCAGTGCTAAGCTAAAGAACCAAACTATAGACACCAAACACTCCACGGCTGATAGACTATGTTTGGTGTAACTGTGTAAATTAGATTTTTGGCCAGACCTTCATTTTAAGGTTATTTGTGTAGCACATAATTGGCTAAATGAAGTGCTGTATTATTGTTACAGTGCAACAGGTTTAAGAGAGTAACGTCACCATTCAGACGCTCAATGCTCCATTTCTCCTTCGTGGTCTTGGTGACCACCTTGAACTCAAAAGGTTCTCCATTGGGGAAATCGTCCCTATCTTCGGCAGTGACGAACAGAACACTGTCTCCGTAACACATCGTCTGGGCTGAGCTGGTCAGCGTTGGGCAGTGGTCGTTAAAATCCTCAACCTGAATTGCGATGGTCCCTGTAGCAGTTTTGGTAGGATGACCTGCGGGAAATGGCCTGGTTATGAGTGACATATTCAAGACAGAGGGTACTTACACTCGTACACTTACACTCTTTCACACATTCTTATGGAATATATCACGTTTGCACTGTAGTTATTATATCAAATATATATACAAAACTGCACATGAACACAAACGTTTATGGATGCGTGAAATTTGTATCCATGGAAAAAGAGAGGAATACAAATAATCATTCAGTGAGTTACCAAAATCTAAAACTTTACAAATAATTTTAATGTTATGAGAATAAAACTGAGAAATAGTGATAAAAACATTGTTTTTTTCCTTTCGTTTTCCTGTGCTGGTCAAATAGCATTCAAACAGTTTGAGCAGTTGGGAATCGATTTGTAATCACTATTTATGCTGAGTATAAAGACAGAATACAGCACTCAAGAGCGTCTTTACTACAGGTGTAAAAAAAAAACCTTGAAAACACAGCATTCTCAGGATGTGGACACACCACTGAGATCGATCTACACAGTACTGTATTAACCATAACTGCTGCAATATCATTGAGTCCACACTCGTTCTGCTCAGTGCATGTGGTCAGCATTGGCCTGTATAATCATGCACAGTGTATAATGATGGTATAATCATTAGTAAAGCACCCAAATTAAAGTTCTTGGATAAAACAAGACTGAAATTTAGAAAACACTGTGCAGAAACCAAAACGTATCACTTGATTCAATCTAAAACATGTACTAGGATGTAGTGGAATTTTACTGCCAATGTATGAGTACAACAAAATTTCGTTTTCCCACTCTATTTTCCATAACACTGTTTTCAAAACAGCTCCAAATGCAATCCATGTTTTGAATATACAAACGCTTCAGTCAGCTCCTATTTTGGCAGCTAGCATACCATTAGTGATGCAGAGGATTTTGGCATAGTATGTCCCGTTGCGCAGGAACTTGGACTCACGATCCGGGACTTTGTTGAGTCTGATTTCGGCCGTGTTCTCGTCAATGATCAACCAGTTGTCGGCATCTTCTCCCTTCACGTATCTACGATGATAACAATTATAAGCTTTTTTTTTAATCTTCCAGGCCCAGTTCTAACCTTAACCTGTTCTAACCTTAACCAATCATATACAGCACAACACCTGGCCTACCAGATCAATCTATACTCTACACATAACCTACACTTACATATTGCTGCTGTCGGAACAAAACCTTGCATTTCAGCTTTTGGCATTTTCAGCTTTTGACATAATTTGAAAATATCTGTTGCCTTTTATGTTTTGTCTATGATGAATGGACCAAAAGAAACAGCCCAAAATTACTTGGAAAAAAACGTCTGGTTCCTCTGACTTACATTAAAAGTAAAGCTTGTTTTTTTCCTTCTCCTGTAAAGTTACCAGTTTTGGAGATACAAGGTTTTGTTCCAAAAGCAGTGATATGAGGCCTTGCTGGCAAGAGTGAGGTGGATACAGGCATAAACACTGTGAACTGTGAAATATTCCTTGGAAAATGTCTCGGGATGCACCAATATGGAGATTCTGTGCCAAATTCAATATCTCATTATTCCTGTTCCTAGCTGCGATAATATTGCAAAATGTAGGCATATGCAAAAGTTTGGGCACCCCTGCCAAATGTTTTGTTGAACTTAAAAAAACTAAAGTCAATACATCTTCTACAGAGAACACACTTCTGCACACCTTAATACACAATTACTGTTTATATGCTGAATTTAACACCCTGGCAACAATGAGGTCTGTGCAAAAGCTGCATTTATATTTTTCCCAGTATGTTAAACTCAGCAAACAACCAGAAATTGTGCACTAAAATTTGCATAAAAAGGTCATATTCAAGTTTATCCTCTGTAGAAGGTGTGTTAACTTATCTTGACTTAGAAAAAAAAAAAACACGTAATTTGAATGGAGGTGTTCACATGTTTACACATGAATGTATTTCTGTATGGTTACAAATGCACAAAAAATAAGAGTGAACATACAACGATCAGGCACAACATTATGACCACCTCCTTGTTTCTACGCTCATTGTCCATTTTATCAGCTCCACTTACTATATAGGTGCACTTTGTAGTTCTACAGTTACAGACTGTAGTCCATCTGTTTCTCTGCATACTTTGTTAGGCCCCTTTTACCCTGTTCTTCAGTGGTCAGGACCCCCATGGACCCTCACAGAGCAGGTACTATTTGGGTGGTGGATCATTCTCAGCACTGCAGTAACACTGATGTGATGGTGGTGGGTTACTGTGTGTGGCGCTGGTCTGAGTGGATCAGACACAGCAGTGCTGCTGGAGTTTTTTAACACCTCAGTGTCACTGCTGGACTGAGAATAGTCCACCAACCAAAAATATCCAGCCAACAGCGTCCTGTGACCACTGATGAAGGACTAGAGGATGACACACATGAGCTGCTGTCTCGGACTTTACATCTACAAGGTGGACCAACAAGGTAATAGAGTGGACTGTAGAACAGGGTAAAGGGGGGCTAACAAAGTATGCAGAGAAACAGACGGACTACAGTCTGTAATTGTAGAACTACAAAGTGCACCTATATATATGTAAGTAGAGCTGATAAAATGGACATGGAGCGTAGAAACAAAGAGGTGTGAAGCAGCAAATAAGAGAAATAACTCACAGAAAACCATTCTGTAGATTTAGGCTACGTTCACATTACCAGGTTGAAGTGACACAAATCCGATTTTTTGCCCTAATGTGACTCAGATCTGATGTTTTCAGGGCTGTGTGGACACAAATCTGATCTGTTCACATACGACCTGAGCCACTTTCATATGTGGTCCTAGATCGGATACATATCTGATGGCGTGCGCCATCATTCAGCGTTACCATGGCAGCAGCGCCGAACAGAAGTTAAAGCCTGTAAACAGTGGAAAAGCAACACATCTCAACATTTTCGCCTTCGTCTCGCTCTAATAATGAACAGCTGATCAGAGTTAATTATCTTCACAGTGAAGCTCGTTAGTTTGTGCTGATGATGCACGTGATTCATTCACGTGACGTTACTGAGTAGGATGTGCGCATGCGGGTCATTTCCGGACGCCGGTTCGTTCACATTAATAACAGACTTGAATCACTTACTTAAAAGAGGGTGAACCATCCTGTTAGAGAGATCGGATTTGAGCAAAAAATCGGATTTGAGCAATGAGGCTGAATGTGAACGTAGCTTCAGTTAATGTTACATAGCAACTACACACATAACACATACCACATTACATACTCATACATACATATACATAATACATAATTCCTCTATAATGCTCACTCAGCCATGTCCTTCTCAGACTCACCTGACGTTTTCAACTATTTCCAGCGTGTCGCTGTCTATAGCCGTGTAGGTGGCTATGATTTTCTTTAGGTTGATGGTGGTGCTGTCTTCAGAGATGGAGATGACTTTGACAGAGGGATGGAATCGAGGCCCCTCAGGCTGGTTGATGACTCTGATCTTAATGGGGTAGCTTTGAGGTTTGATGATCTTGACCGAGGAGTGATACTCCGCTACGTTGGAGACTGTCACTTGCATATTGATCTCTTTCAGCTCTTCATAGTCCACATGCTACGATATAAAGAACAATCAGTGAAAGTCCAATTGTATTAAGTCCTCTAACAAACATCAGAAACTCACAGTCTAAAATATATAATGTAGTCTAATATAAATCATAGCACTGGTGTAGAATTACCCATAATTCCTTGCACTAACTTCAATTATTTACTGGAAATTTGTGCCTTTTATGATTTTATGTTTATGTTTAGGTTATGTTTCCCCCTTTTTCACCAACCTAAGAACACCCATGATAAAATTACCAATGGTAAAATGATATCAGAGCCTCTCGTGGTTTACTGCTTATTTTAATGCACATAATATGCCCACTAGTTTACCTTCTTGATAATCAAAATGCCCTCATTGGTTTTGTTGTCGGTGGTGATGTCGAAGTATTTGGCCTCATTTCCTGAGATGATCTTATACACAGCCCGCCAGTTATCCGTGTACTTTAGATCATGGTCAATGGTCTGGATCCGGACCACTTCCACATCCATGGTGTTCTCCTCCACACTGCCCTCATACTGCCAACAAAGGAGTTTCAACTGTTCAGCGGATACTTGTATTTCTTGCGCCTCCTTTATTATCATATATAAAGTCATATGCAAAGGTTTGAACAGTCCTGGTCAATTTACATGTTTTGTTGCTTTTCTAAGTGAAAATAAGTGAACAGGTAATGTAACATCATATCTATCAGTATTTCATTTGTCTACTCTTAACTTTTGTGCTAGAGAACACACTTCAACATGGCTTTTTATTGCACATTTTACCACACAATTTCTATTTATTTGTTGAGTTTAACATACTGGAAAAAATAAACATAAATAATAAAATATAAAACATAAAATCTGCCATAACATTTGCACAGGCCACATTTTGGTATGTTAAATTCAGTAAATAAACAGTGATTGTGTATTCAAATGTGCAGAAGTGTGGAGGATGTGCACATTTGACCAGAGGTGCCCACATCTCAAGTGCTAACCTCTCTAAATGAAAACATTTAGAAAATGAAAACAAGAAGACTATGAAAACAAATATATATGAAAACAGCAAAACAATCTTACAGATGCATTCTGCAACACTGGGACATTGTCGTTGACATCAAGAATATTGATGGTCACTGTTGTCGTCGTTGTTTTTCCATCTGATTGTCCGTTCATGTCTGTGGCCATGATGGTCAGCGTGTAGGTTTCATGTACCTGTTCAACAAGACAGTTCACATTTTATAAACCCATTGAAAAGTAAAAGAAGAACCTAGTTGCTTACAAAGCAGCTTCCCTAAATTCCAGTACCTCAGCTGGTAAGCCTTTCAAAAGAGTCTTTATTAATGTATAATTGTGTGTCATCAGCATAGCTATGAAAACTGATATGTTTCCTAATGACTTTACCAAGAAAAAAGCAAAGGCACTAAGACTGAACCTTGTGGGACTCCACAAGAAATGCTGCAGTTTTTTGATGAACGATTTCCCAGCGAAACCAAGATTTGTCTCATCTGTAAAGTCTTAATATCTACATAAATAAATCCATTTTAAAGCTCAGATTGTCACTTTCACTACCTTTGACATCACAAGAAAAAAATCAACTTATTTCAGGCTCCTTTGGGTCACCATACCCATTCTCTTTAACCAAGCTTCCAGTATGTCGACAATGTCGACTAATGCTGCACTGCTTTTCCACACCAAAGTGCCATCAGAAGATTTCAATAAGAGCAGTTTCATGGCAACCGACATTCTCACCTCTCTGTCCAGCGTATTCATTTGGACGTAGATCTTGCCAGACGTTCGGTCGATGTAGAACATGAAGGCTTCACGTGGATTCTGCTCGTAATGCTGTAGGAAATCGTTGAATGTAACGTATTTGGTGCGTCTGCATCAGTAGCCGTGACGTTAACGACATAGGTGCCTGGGAAATGAAAGAAAACAGAATAATTCATTACAAAACTGACTGTTTGGAACGAATGTTTTTAATTATAGGTTTGTTGTAGATACATTTATTAAATTTTCCAAATACAGCGCAAGAAATAACTTTATAAGTTTCAAATCATTTGGAAGAAGCTATATGAAAGAAGAAGCCAGAAATAACAAATAGAGCTGCAGATGATTCTACAATGACTGAGAAAGCTGTTTAATATTGAGAATGAAGTTTGAACAGAATTAATATAAAGAAAGCCGGGTATTTGATTAGTATTAATATTGATAACATTGATTTTGAGGGATAAAATGTAAATTAAGTACAAAGCCACTCGCTGAGCACAAGTCATTCAGTCATTCAAAAGAAGAAAACATCTATTCAACTGAAGATTACACACAAGCCTTTAAATCTATCAGTGCGTAATTTGTCCACTCTTTACTTTTGTGCTTTTTACTGCCAAATTTAACTTCAATCTGTCCAATCTTAAAACTAGCCAGTTACAGCTGTGTCCTCCCAACAAAAGCATCCCAAAGAAGTCAATGATATCATATTCCCCTTTAAACAGACACTAACATTCACACAAGCAACTACCCAAACTCACCTCAGCTACCTTCAAATTTTTTTTCATGAGCATCTACAATGGCTAAATGTGATATTTCTGAAGAGATTAGATATAAGATAATCCACTGGCATATGGAAACAGAAAGTCAAAAGAAAATAAGTGAAAAAAAAACAAAAAAAAACCAGGAGTTTCCATAAGTGGAGTTCAAAAAATGATTAAAATTGAGATACAGAGAAAATGTAAGACCATGTTTAGACTGTGTGGCTGTCATGAAGCCCTTACTGAGAAAGGAAAATACACAAAAACAAAGAACATGTGTAGAATCTGGGATGTGGAGTACGGTTTAATGGACCGACTAGTCTAAATTTGTAACTGAGATTGTGAGAAGCTGAAAAATCAACCAACTTCTAAGAGTGAACTTTTGAAGTGTGGAAAAATGTCCCTGCAGATTTCTTTGAAACACTGAAAAGACATGAAGCTGTAATAAAGGCAAAGGACGGACACATTAAATACTGAAAGCTAACATGTTGTTGAGGATTCTGTGTATTTTTTTTTGTTTTGTTTTCAGCTTTTTTTCTTACTGACTACTTCGACTAGAAATTGAATAAATGAGTGGTCTCTGACTTTTGCACAGTGGATAATTACCATATATAATTTATTTGTAAATGAACAACTTTCGGTTGTTTACTGAAACGTAAAATATTAAATAAAACGTCTGAAAATTAATAGTGGTGTTTAATTTAGAACATTTCAATGTACACTGTTGAATAATATGCCAAATTATTAATTAGTCTTTTATATTAGTGAAAAAACTGACAAAAGAGTCAAAACTTTTAAATAGTAGTGAATGTATGTCCTTATAAATGAAAACTTTGGGAAATACTGCAATCATCAAAGACTGCAGTAAAAACTACTCTGCCTGGAAAATGTAGCATATAAAAATCACGAGATCTTTTTGCGTATCAGTCATAGACAACAGGGTTAAATAAATGTCCCCTTTAAAAATTGAATGTACTATACAGCAATTTAATATACAGCAACAGTGCACTGATCTGAAAGTGGTGATTTAACTGCATTAATTTTAAAAATTATATGACTATAATTGATCATAATAAAACTTAATTGTTTTGGCCAAAATAAAATTCTCTGGCTATTTTCAAATCTAAAAAATAACATGATAAGCAGCTTTTCCAGTCATATTCATGCAGCTCAGTCAGGTTGTAAATTGTACCAAGGTAACTGAATAGCGGCAAATTTTGAGAAATCATGATATTCTGAATTATTTCCAAAAATATTAAGTCAAACTAAATTACTGTGTCCACCCATAATACAGTAAAACAAATAATCCCCATACCTTTTGCACTCAGTTCATAGACAGAACCAATGGGCTGAATATTAAAAACAGGACTGTTGTCATTATCATCCAAAACTTCAATTCGCAGGTCAATGTCCTTCTCAGCTCTAGTGCCATTTTCGAACTTGGCTATCCCTTTTAGCTAAAAGACAAAACATACAGCAACTTACAAATATGTGCAGGAATAGGCAACCCATATGGAAACCCATAAGGAAAAACACTGGTATATTTTACAAAATGTGTGTCAACTTTGTAATGCAATTCCACATATGTTTATACATTCAATATATTCATATTTATGTGCTTATATTGGCATCTATTTAAGTATCTAGTTAAGTATTTTTAGCACCTATATTTTTATATGAGCAAATACACTGACTGGCCACTTCATTAAGTCCACCTCCTTGTATTTACACTCTTTGTCCATTTTATCAGCTCCACTTACCAAATTTCTAGATCTACAATTACAGACTGTTACACCCCTTTGACCCTGTTCTTCAATGGTCAGTACACCCGACAGGACCACCAGTGAGCAGGTACTATTTGGGTGGTGGGTCATTCTCAGCACTGCAGTGACATTGACTGGTGGTGGTGTGTTAGCATGTGTTGTGTGGTTCTTTAATGATACCCACAATAGTCTCAGAATTTCTCTGACGTAATTTCTGAGATTGTCATATTTCTCGAGATTGTCATATTGCCCACCCCTAATTTAAGCCAATTCAATTTGCTTTCATATTGTTAAATTCAGTATTGGTTTACGCAGTTTATTTATGAATTATTTAAAGCAGTGAGCAGAGAATGTGGTGGGGGTGTGTATTTCTGAGGAATTTTCCAAGGACCTGATGATGACGTATTACTGTAACAGCTTTTGTGAGTCATCACAACTACTATAAACAGAACAGCTGAGAGGTGGGGAGTTAATAATTCTAACACTGATGTATTCATTGTATTCACTGTATTCTTTGTTTGTATTACGAATAAACTGCACACAAACGCTAACCACCATTATTCACAACATGAGGCAAAAACCTACCTCACAGAGGTTTCACACTAAATGGTTATTAATGTGCTGTCTAATGTCCGAGACATTGTTTTCAAATATATAATAGTTTAGTGATGATGTTTTGGTCTAAAACATATTTTTAAAGCTCTAGGTTCACTGCTGGTTTTGGATATTAAATAAAACGACTGTATTTGTGACTCCTTGTTTCTATCATCATCACTGTCCCATCAAACCACTCTGAAATACTTTGTGCACATTTCAACGATTAAAATATGCAGAATTTTGGAAATTTAAAAGCGACTGCAAACTGTTATATCACAGCAAAAAAACTATATTGCATTCTTTTTCAGGATGATGCACAGTTAGAAAGAAGATGCACTTACATGGTAAAAAGGAGTTGCCTCTCTGTCTAAGATGCCATGGATCCTCACTAAGCCTGTTCGTTCATGCACAGTGAATAAATGCACCGGGTCTTCATCTGCTCCAGGTCCTTTTAGAGAGTAACGTATCGTAGCACTGGTCTCCTCGTCCGATCGGATCTGAAATCAAACACATGGACTACTCATTAACACAAATCCTTCCAACCCTTAGCTACACTATGCACTAAGTTGCATTTAAATATGCTATCTGTATATATATACATACACTTCTTTAGATTAGAACAAGAGCTACGGGGCTAACATTGCTAACAAACACTGGACTCACAGTGGTCACACAAATAGCCCAAATCTTTTCTGTAAATACATCCCCAAAACTTCTCTCAGGTTAGGCAAACTTGCCAGTGATGGTTCAGAGCACACGGTTGTTCATTTTTATACAACCCCATTTCCCAAAAATTTGGGATGTTGTGCAAAACGTAAATAAAAACAAAATTCTATTGTTTTTTTGAAAAGTATTTGCCCATTTTGAATTTGATGCCAACAACACGTTCTAAAAAGGTTGGGATGGGGGCAAAAAACAACTGGTAAAGTTGTGTAATACTAAAAACACACCTGGGGGTTAATTGGCAACAGGTCAGTAACATGATTGGGTATAAAATAGCATCTCAGAGAGGCTGAGTCTTTCAGAAGTAAAGATGAGGAGGGGTTCACCACTCTGTGAAAGCACAGCAAATAGCGCAACAATTCAAGAATAACGTTTCTCAATGTAAAATAACAAAGAATTCCTGCTTTTCATCATCTACATAATAACATTAAAAGATACAGAGAATCTGTGGAAATCTCTGTATGCAAGGGACAAGGTCAAAAACCAGTATTTGCTGGCCACGATCTTCAGGCCCTCAGACGGCACTGCATAAAAAACAGACATTATTCTTTAGAATAAATCACTGCATGGGCTCAGAAACATTTCTGAAAACCACTGTCTATGAACACAGTTCATCACTGCATCCACAGATACTAGTTAAAACTCTGCAACGCAAAGAAGAAACTGTATATAAATAGGATCCAGAAACGCAACTGCCTTCTCTGGGCCTGAGCTCATTTAAAGTGGACTGAGGGGAAGTGCAAAAGTGTCCTGTGGTCTGACAAATCAACATTTGAAATTATTTTTGGAAATCATGGACACTGTGTCCTCCGGGCTAAAGACCACTCAGCTTGTTATCAGAGCACAGTTCAAAAGCCAGTATTTATGATGGTATAGAGGGTGCATTAGTGCACATGGCATGGGTGACATGCACATCTGTGAAGGCACCATTAATGCTGAATGATATGTACATGTTTTAGCAACATATGCTGCCATGGATTTGCTTATTTCAGCAAGACAGCGCAAAACATTGCTCCGTATTAAAAGAGTTCAGGTGCTAAACTGGCATACCTGCAGTCCAAACCTATCATCACTGATAACATTTGGCATATTATGAGATGAAAAATATGACAAAGGAGACCCCGAACTGTTGAGCAGTTGAAATGTTATGTCAAACAAGAACAGGAAAACATTTCACTTTCAAAACTACAGCAGTGTCTCCTCAGTTCCCAAATGCTTACATAGTGTTGCTAAAAGAAGAGGTGATGAAACACAGTAGTAAATATGGCCCCATCCCAACTTTATTGGAATGTGTTGTTGGCATCAAATTCAAAATGTGTGTATTTTTCAAAAAACAATACAATTTCTCAGTTTCAACATTTGATATGTTGTCTTTGTACTATTTTCCTTTAAAAATATGGTTTACATGATTTGCACATCATTGCATCCTATTATTACTTACATTCTGCACAGCGTCCCAACATTTTTGGAAATGGGGTTGTAGTTCACAGTAAGTCATATTAATACCACTAGTGTCCTAAACCACACTGGCAAGTCTGCGTGACTTTAGCGAAGACCCGGATGCCGTTTGAGTGGGCTGAGAGCAGTTTGGTTGATTTTTACAGAAATTATTGTGTGAGTATTAAATTCTAGTGTTTGTTAGCAATGTTAGCCTCATAGCTCCTGTTCTAAACCAAGGAAGCAACTCCAAACATGTCCAAATGTGTCTATCAGCTTATTTAAAAAGCAAGCTCTCAAATCAGATAGTGCTGTCATAAGTCGTTGAAACTCTTGACAGAGTGTAAGGTCTTTGTTCTAGCAGCAATGACGTATTTTAAGACTTTTTAGATGTAGTTGATCTGTTTTTCTGATAAAGTATCTCACAATCTTTATGGCTTGTTATTGTTCAGTTTGTATTGCTTAGTATTTTTTAAACTCTTATTATTCAGCTTATTGTAGTTTAATAATATAATCAGTGGTGACAGCCCTACTATTACAGCAAAAACCGTTTAGATCAAAATCCAAAAGTTTAGATTAAAATCCAAAAGTTTAGATTAACCCTTTATTGCATGAATTATTACATAAACATGGTAAAAATGTTTTAACATGTTTTTCTTATTTAAAATTGCTAAAATAATGGAAATAGTTGAATTTTTTGTTTTTTAATTTTAAGTGGGGTATTTGGTAAATTGTTGCCATATGGCAACAATGCGCAATCACACCAAAGCACCATAAAATCTAAAAAAAAGCACCATAAAATCTAATTTTTCTCTAAAAACATCTTTTTTAAAAACATGACCAAACAAATCCAACTTATACTTAGTAAAAACGTATGACCCAGTATTCACAAATATTGTAAATGAATACATTTTCAATTGGTATTTGGAATGGATGGTAATAACAACATCATACTAAGAATTCCTGGTCATGTGACGTCATAAATTATTTGTTGTTTAAAAGTAAAAGACCCTTTTTCCACAATTAAATAGGAAACCACAGATTTTATATTACTGCTTTTTAGTAAAATTGAGATAAAGTAATTGTTGCCATACGGCAACACCGTGCAATAGAGGGTTAAATCTTCAGCACAGTTTTAGACAGTCACCACCGCCTTATTTGGACAGAAATACATGTCTATCAAGGGTGGTGTGCTTAACGCTTCCTTGCATGTGCTCTACTCCACCCACCACCTTCCTCATAGCGATACATGACCATGACTTCTTTACTTGCATGACTAGGACCCTTTTTTATTTTCCAGTCACTCGAAGCAGTTTCTGTTTTGGTAGTTGTTTTGACGACCTGACGTTCACATCGATGAGAAGATTTTGCATATGCGGGTATTTTAACTCCCATAGCCAGCTGTCCACTCCATGCAGGCTGCAAGTTTGTATTAGTCTTAGTTTGCCTAACCTAGGGGTGGAGAACTCTGGTCCTGGAGGGTCAGACAACAGCACCATTTGGTAATTTGCTCAAAGACACTCAACTCATTTCGTTAGTTAATTAGCTGATTTAGTTGTTGTGTCAGAACTGAGAAATCAGCAAACTGTGCCAACATGCAGTGGGGAACCCTAAGGGCCTTCTAGGCCTTCAGAGAAGATCTAATGATTTTTGAGAAATAAAAAAAATACAAACTTGTTTAGTTCAGTTTTATTTAATATAATTGTACCTTAACTTTGCACATATTGTAGTAATGCTCTTATTTCATTCAGTTTTGGCAAACAAGTTTTGTGAAAACAATTGTGTTACATATTATTGTGTTACATATTATTAATTCCAAACATAAAATTGTCCAATTTGGCATTTTTTATCTCTGTACTATCTACACAGATACAGCTTAGTGAGCTCTCTCATTGGTTAGAACTTCAGGAGCTGAATCGAAGGGTTTACATGATAGATAAACCATTAACATAATGAGGAAGTAATAGTGGAAGCAGTGGAAGCAGCCGATCATGTTTTACAATTTGTGGGACTGATTTCGTGAGAACAGAATGTCACTCTAGGCCACCTGGAAGTTTGAGATACACCACTGACTGTAAATTTGAGCCATGTTCTAACCAGGTTTCAGTCAGTTAGGTAAACAGCAGCAGCAGATCTCTTTACTGAATCAGTGTAAAACTGCTACAAGGTCAAATGTATGTCAGTGTCTGTTACAGGCTTGAACATACAAAACATAAAACATGCTGTCACTTTTTTTTATTTGAACATGGCAGCTGTACTTTACATGTTGTGGAAATTTCATAAATGGACCAACAGAAATGCTCAGAAAATAGTTGTCATAAAATTTCTTAACTTTAACTTCCATTAAAAGTGAATGTTTATTCCCTTTTCCTGTAACATTACTATTTGGAAAAAGGTGTTTTTTTCTAAATCGATGATGTCATTTACAGCCTTTAAATGTCTGCAATTGTCCAAAAATGTTCTTGAGAATTGTTTTTAATAGCCCAGCGCTAACATACTATTAGAATCCCATAGGGGCAGAAATAAGCATTAAAGCAGAGGTGTTTTCTCCTCAAACTGAAGGCCTAGCACTAACTGTCACAGCTGCAACATGCCAGTAGTCTCTCAGTTCGGTCCTCATGGTCCCCCACCCAGTCCATTTTGTCTCAACCCGTAACATTACATACACAGGCATTTAAAAAAAAAAACTGGTAGAATGCACCTGGTTTGGGGGTCCATGAGAGCCGACCTGGGAATGTCTTTGAAATGAGCTTTGCAGACAAAACAACTGTGCAAATCTTCTATCAGAGAGAAGATCACTGTTATTAGCCCACTGACAATTATTTTCCTTATTCCTTTTTTGTACACTGTAACCACAGTTCTGAGAGGATCAGTATAGCAGTTAATCTGATATTCATGGCTACAATGTAGCACACAAACAGTTCTTTTTTACTTAAATGGAAAACAATGTCACCCTAACTGCAGTTGAGGAAACAAAGTTTGTATATGCTGACTCTGTTCTATAGGGAAATGGAAACATGTGGCATAATTAAATTAGCCCTTGTGTTATGTTCTGGTCATAAGACATTCATGAGATATTTATTTGGGTTAAAATAATGAAACTTATTACTTTTGTCTACATGTGTAGCTCTCTCTCTCTCTCTCTCTATATATGCATATATGTATATATATATATATATATATATATATGCGTGTGTGTGTGTGTATATGTGTATATTATATATTATGTATATATAATATATTACCTTTTATATAATTTTAAAATGTCAAAACATTGTGTTTTTTTTAGCACTGGCTTGCAGAGATGTTTTTAGATGGCACATAAAGACAGTGATGAAAGACTGAGATTAAAATGCTCTGCTTGATATGCTACAAGCTGCTGGACTGGAAAAACAAGTGAGAACTAAAAGCAGCTGGTGAGATGTGAGCTAGTTAATGCAGTGATAGCTCACCTAAAAATACATACATATATATATATATATATATATATATATATATATATATATATATATATATATATACATATCATCAGAAGCCACATTAAGTGACCTTTATTATGCGCACAAATGCTCAGTGAGTCAGAAAGATCTTACTTTGGCGATGAATTTCTCTGTGGTGTAATCCACATTCTCCTGCAGTTTCTTTGGAGGGATGATCCACTCCCTCTTCTGCCTCCTGAGTGTCTTCTGTCCTCCTCCATCAGCTTCAGCCTGGGCTATCTGTCCCAGAAATACATATTTTTACATGTACTAATTCAGAACTCTTACTTACGCACACTATAAAGAGTGACACACTGAATGTACTTGATTCAAATACATATATCATTGCCACCTCAAATATAACATATATATGCAAATGTAAAACACATTACACCAAAACAATTATTGCTATAGGTACATAAGCAGAAAGACAAAACTGTGCTGATGTAAAATAATTTATTAATTGGGAAACTATGTATACATTTAAATTGACTAAATATGCTGAAATTTAACTGCAGTGAATTTACAGTAAATTGTGTCATTCAACAACAAATTTCAGTAGGTAGTCGGTCAGCGTCAGTGAGCCAATAAGCATGCTTTGTCCAAAGAAGAAGCTGATTGTCTGTTTCAGTATACAGTCGTATGCAAAACTCCCCAGGTTAAATTACATGTTTGCTGATTTTCTAAGTGAAAATAAGTCAGAGGTGGGCAATATGATGGTATTTTATTGTTATTGTAAAAATATTTATTATCATGATACACAATACTTGTTTATCATGGCTGTTTTTAAATGTGGCACTATTAGTGCTTTGGATCTATGTGAAAATGTAGTGATATGTATCATGCATCGTGAAAAAGCATTGTGATATATTTTTGCCATATCGCACACCACTAAAATAAGTTCACACATCCTCGACAGGAAACTTAAATATTTTCAAATTTTAGTTTCTGTTTATTTGCTGAGTTTAACGTTAGTAAAAAATAAAACACAAAATATAAAATGTATAAAATATAAATATTTATAATATTCATCACTATTTTGTTTTTCCCCACATTATGTTAAATTTGGCAAATAAAAATGGATGTTACTAACGTCAGCGCTTCTTCATTACCTCACTCTTATTTCTGTTGAAGCCCCACTTTCAGTTTGTGATTTAAAAAAAAAGAGTATTGCACAAAATATTGTACAGGAATCGATATCAATGTCACGGTATCGTAAAATCCTGAACAGTAGCCAGCCTGAGTCAGGATAAGAATCAAAGTTTTGCAAAACTAGGGCACACTTTATATTTTTGCAGTATGTTAAACTAGGAAATTAAATAAATAGATAAATAAATAGAAATTGTGAACTAAAATTTTCAGGAAAAACGTGATGCTTAAGTGTGTTCGCCGTGGAGGATGTGTTAACTTAGTTTCATTTAGAAAGTCAACACAACATGTAATCTTACTGGGGGTTCTCAAACTTTTGCACAAATAAGAGTGCACATCCAAAACAGGTGTGGACCAAAACAGCACCCATGAAAATAAACCTTCACACAAAAACAAAAAAGAAAATCAACTTCTTTTACAAGAAAAAGCTCTTGTTAACTGTGCCATGAGAAGCTTGAGTGAAGCGAGACAGTTTCTGCTGTCGTATATGACCTTGACCGAAATGACGGAAGAACCAGACACGGAAATATCGAGCTGCAGTGACCACAGACGGACAAACACGACAGCCAACATAACAACAGTACTAATCCAATAGGATCTTCAGCTTTCATTAGACAACAGACAAAACTCTTTTTTTTCTTTTCCCCAAAACTGACCATAAAGAAGAAGCTGAAACATGCTTAAAATGTTTAACAAAAGCTTAACATTATCATAACTAATCAATTTAAGTGATATAAATATTTTGAATAGAGATGTAGGCCAAAATATTTGGAATCTCTGTTTTACATGATCCTGGAGCTCCTGCACATTTCAGTGCTCAACTGTGCTCCTGCAGGGCCAGAGTCCAGCGATTTCTCTGCACTAACACACCTACTGCACCTACGAACTACGTGTTAAGATAAATCAGGTGTGTCTGAACAGGGAAACAGTCACTGGTTTTATTGTTTTCACTCTAACACAGTGGCCCCCAACTCCCTGCACTGTTTTAAACATGTCTAGTCTGATCACACCTGATTAGAGATGGCACGATACCACATTTACCATGTCTTACAACGCTGCCTGATTTCTACCCCACATGTATGTGTCTTTTTTATGACGCTGTATTAGCAGATTAGTTTGAGGCAGGAGTCGGCAACATGCGGCTCTTTTACTGCCCTGTTGCAGCTCCACAGCAGAATTAGATTTGTAGGTAAAAATAAAATAATCCTCGTTTGCAGTAAAATAAAGCTCTGCTGATCGTTCAACACATTTTCAACAATAAACTGTCTTAAACACTGGGGTTAATGTAGAACTGCTAATTCACCCTTTAACCCTAAAGGTTGGCTCGCAGACTGCTGGTCATCATAGCAACAACAACAATCTCGCCCAGGCTAGTATCTGACGAAAACGGAAAGAGAGAGATTTAAGACAAACATTGATCATTTGGAGACGGTTGGACTTGTATTTATAATCACTCCAGCTGGTTTCCTGATATGTATAATCTGCAACGAGAAACTGACAAACACTAAAAAGTCATGAAGCTGAAGTCAGCTTTTTGTTCGAATTTTCCCGTTCCACCTTAAATGGTGCAGCAGTTACACTCTGGCACCTCAGGTTCTATTTAAGGTATAACGGGAAAATTAGAACAAGAAGCCGGTGAATGAGAAGCAACTTCAGCCTCGTAAAAAAACAAACATTGAGACACGTTTCACAAGAAACTGCTTTACTTTGGAGGAAAAGTTTCCTGCTGGAGATGCGAGAAGAGCAGCTATAGCTGAGCTAAAGCTTAAAGCTTTAAGAGCAAATTAAGTCTGCGTTTTCATTTATATTATATTTTTTAGTCCATCCTAGGACATTAGCTAGCACATATTAAGGCATATTTTCAGCCAAGATGGTAAAACGTTACTTAAACAAATGGACATAAAATGTTGTGGCTCCCAAGGTGGTTTGATTTTTGTTAAATGGACAAAATGGCTCTTCTTAACATTTGGGCTGCCAACCTGGTTTGAGCTGTTTAATGCTAATTCCACTAAATAAGCAGCCTCGTTCTCTTTCCTGGTTTAATGCTACTTAGTATCATTTTTGCTCTATGGGTGAAATCATTCAGGTTTGGGCACAGGGAGACGAGAGTGGTACGGACAACAACTTGCTCGATGTCTTTGTCATTTTGGTTTAGTATGACAGCATATCTGTGGCTGAGCCTCAGACCCTTAATCCATATATAGTGAGGGGCATATTTCAAGATTATAAGAAAATGATGGCTTCTACACCCAAATAGTGCACTTAATGTTACTGGTTGTTGTACAGCTATGACCGAATCCAAATGACTTAAATTTAGACATTCAGTGCACTGAATGTGTTTGGAGGCCATTATATAATGACCTACATAGTGTGCACTACATTGGAAACAACAAGCCATTTGCAATGGGGCCTATATTTTGCCCAGCTTTGTTCATGCTACAGGCTATTAATGCTGTCTTACATGAAGCAACAGTGTTCAGTGTTCTGTGTTTCTACTTGTTTTAAAGACAAGAGTGCAAAATACACACATAATAACTACTGAAGGATATGGCCATTTCGTTATGGCTCAACTACAAGTTTAAATAGCAGAACAAGGCATGAAAGTAATGTTTTCTATGCATGCTTGACAGCGGTGCACAAGCACGGTGCAAATCAGGTAGGGGACGCAGGCTTTTATAGTAATGAAGTGTAAAAGTAGCTGTAAACTTCTTTCAGTCATCAGAAATGTTTTCTTTCTTTTTTGTGTGTATTAATCTTATTTAATATGTGAGCCTCCTTGCTGTACTGAATCTATAGGCTTAGTTTTTTTTTTTTATTTTTCATTTCCAGGTGATATTATTGACATTCTTGATTGTAAATTACATCTTACGAAAAGCTGGGGGACAGGTTGAGTGGTGTGGCTGATTTAGGCTGGAACTAAACTGTGGGCAGAATGGTGATCTCTGAAGTCCATATACATTCACTCTTGCAAGTTATGTAAATTTTAATAAATAAAATACATTATTTTAAAATAATATTGTATCCCAAGATGTGTTCCATCCAAAAAAAACAAAAATAAACAAAAGTATCTATTTTTTTCTACATAATTTGAACTTTCTAGCTGCCATTTTCATAGTGTCCAAATTTCATGATGAATGGACTGATAAAAATGTCTTAAAATAGCTTGAAATAAAATCATTTTGCATTAACTTACATTAAAAGTTAGGAATGTTTGGTCTCTCCTGTAAACTTTTAGAGAGGCTTGTTTTTCTTTGGACAGCGACAAAATGTAAAAGCTTAATACTGGCTGGTTGTAAGTGTTACAGATGTAAAAATTTGTGGAATATGAAATTTGTGGAATCAATAAACCCTCGTATTTCAAAACAGGACATGGAACATTATCTTAACTTTTAATGGGAGTAAATATCTTATAGCAGTCTATGACAACGGAAAACCTGAAATCCAGATCTATCTATCTATCTATCTATCTATCTATCTATCTATCTATCTATCTAACTATAGATAGCTAGATAATGTGGAAATTTTGACCCTTCATGGAAAAGAACTATAACAATACAGTTTCAGGTGTTATAGACTGCTATAAAACCGTAATACTACAGTAATAAAGGTGAAACAACAATAACAGATTATAAAAGCACCATAGAAATCGTACTGATTCTTATAGTTTATGTCAGTTAAGTCTTTTTGTGTTGTTAATGGATGTATTGATTTTCTATGTATATATTTGATGTACTGACTAATAGAACTTGCTTTAAAAGGACTGAGCTGAAGAACAGAATGGATATATAATGAAAATCCCCCAGTGTGAACCACAGAGGGCCTCCAGGAGCAGATGTGGGAAACACTGCCCTCTCCTGAAGTTTAACTCGGACACTGCAGCTCTGATAACGGTGTCCTCGAGAATGCGGACCGGATCCTAACAAACTTCTGCTTTTACAGACAAGTTAAGAAGCCACGTCGACCTCCAAACGAGTCGTCTCGAGGAAAAAAAAACGAGGAGAAAATTTTTCCCTCTCAGCGGAAACCAGCACCAAACCCACCAACACAGCAGGCGGGGGTCTTACCGTAGTTGTGATGACGACCAGAAAAGCGCTGAGCAGCAGCAGCTTCGCCATTTAAACCTCCACGAAGAGTAACTCCAAATTCCGCTCTTCAGTCCGCCGTTCCTGCTGGATCTCTGAGTCTGACTGACTGACACTCTCTCTCTCTGTCTCTCTCGCTCTCTGTCTCTCTCTCTCTCTCTCTCTGTGCTTTGGCTCCTCAGCAGCACACACAGAGCAGATAAGATCAGATGGGTGGCGCTGGATTCTCTCCAAAGGTCTTTTCACCCCACCCGTTTTCGGTCAAGCCCCGCCTCCTGCGCTCTGATTGGCTGGTTCTCTGGCCGCGTTCGAAAAGTGTACAGTAAACTTTAAAATTTAACTAAAATTTAATATGGACAAAAATAACTTGCCAGTGTTGTGATTTTGAAATTGAAAACAAAACAGAAAAAAAGCAGATTTTTCGCTTTTCACTTTGGAATGATCTTCAATGCTGGTTCTCCTCAATAATGTTTTTAGGTAGAACTGAAGAAACACTTTTTATGGTGAATAAAAGTGAATGTAGAGATGTATTTTTGGTAAATAATGTCATTATCTTAAAAATGAAACCATGGGCTTTTATTTTTTTATTATTTAGGCTTTTATTGGTAATGAAGTGTAAAAGTAGCTGTAAACTTCTTTCAGTCATCAGAAAAAATTTCTTTCCTTTTTTTGTGTATGTGTTTATTAGTAAGTAAGTAAGTAAAGTTTATTTATATAGCGCTTTTTACAACAGGTGTTGTCACAAAGCAGCTTTACAAGGAAATGAGCATTACAAAAAGAAGTCCGGGTCCGAGCCCCCATGAGCAAGCCAGTGGCGACAGTGGCAAGGAAAAACTCCCTAAGAGAAACAGGAAGAAACCTTGAGAGGAACCAGGACTCAGAAGGGGAACCCATCCTCCTCTGGTCAACACCGGATAGTAAACATTGTTAGTATAAAGTATTATAGTACAAAAAACAGGGTAAAACGTGAAGGAAACAATTAATTTGAATAGTTCAGTTCATGCAGCAGAAGCAGCAGCATCAGTGGGGTCAGGTTGTGAGGGTGAGGTTTGCACGGTGAGCAGTGGCACCCGATCAAGGCAGCAGAGGCAGCAGCATCAGCAGCAGGATGGGCAGCTGTTCAACTCGGCAAAAGAAAGAGAGGAAAAACACAGTCAATGGGTGATTGATTAATTTGAATTAGTTTGAATGATTGATTGGTTCAAGTGAATAATTTTGAATAGTTCATGCAGCAACAGCAGTAGTATCAGTGGGGTCAGGTTGTGAGGGTGAGGTTTGCACGGCGTTGAACAGCAGGAGGCTCAATGTTGGTAACCCGGTCCAGAGGGCTGGCGAGCAGTGGCACCCAATCGAGGCAGAAAAGGCAGCAGCATCAGAACGCACAGGATGGGCAGCTGTTCAACTCGGCGAAGAAAAGAAAGGAAAACACACAGAGAGGAAAACACACAGAGTTAGTTCTGTAATGGGTGACCGATCACAAATTACAGTGTTAGCAGAGACTCTGGCAGGTATAGAACTAACAGGGAAAACTAATTACCAAAGGCTTGAATATACAAGTAGGTTTTTAGCCTAGACTTAAAGACTGAGGCTGTGTCTGAGTCCCGAACATTAACAGGAAGACTATTCCAAAGCTGGGGGGCTTTGTATGAGAAAGCTCTCCCCCCTGACGTAACTTTATTAATTCTGGGTACTAATAGTAAGCCAGCACCTTGTGATCTAAGTAGGCGGGATGGTTCATAGTGAGATAGAAGTTCACTCAGGTACAGCGGGGCGAGTCCGTTTAGTGCTTTATAAGTCAGCAAGAGAATTTTATAATCAATCCGAAATTTTACTGGCAACCAGTGTAAGGCTGATAAAACTGGGCTGATATGGTCAAACTTTCTGGTTCTAGTAAGAACTCTGGCTGCAGCGTTCTGGACTAGCTGAAGCTTGTTAATGCTTTTGCTGGGACATCCAGCCAGCAGGGCATTACAGTAATCTAGCCTTGAAGTAATAAATGCATGAACTAACTTTTCTGCATCCTGTAGAGAGAATGCATTTCTCAATTTAGCAATATTGCGAAGATGCAGGAAGGCTGTTCTAGTAATATTAGTTATATGTGTGTCGAAGGACAGATCAGGGTCTATAATGACACCAAGGTTTTTTACATATGAGCTTGATGCAACTGAGAAATTGTTAAGTTTAAGTGTTAAATTAGACAGTTTGTTTCTAGCTGCTTTTGGACCAAGAAGCAGAACCTCTGTTTTATCTGAGTTTAGAAGGAGAAAGTTACTCGACATCCAGTCCTTTATGTCTTGTATACAGTCTTCAATCTTGCTAAGTTTAATTCTATCATCTGGGTCGCTTGCTAAATATAACTGAGTGTCATCGGCATAGCAGTGGAAGTTTATGCCGTGTCTACTGATAATGGTGCCCAGTGGTAGCATATATAAAGTGAATAATACAGGTCCTAAAACAGAGCCTTGTGGAACACCATATTTTACTTTTGTGAGAACAGATGATTCACCGTTTATATTAACAAACTGATACCGATCAGTGAGGTAGGACCGGAACCAGGAAAGAGCTGTTCCTGTTACCCCTACAAGGTTTTCTAGTCTGTCTAGTAAGATAGTGTGGTCTATTGTGTCAAATGCCGCACTAAGATCGAGGAGGACTAACAAGGACACATGATCTTGGTCAGAAAATAATAATAGATCATTTACAATTTTTACTAGTGCTGTTTCTGTACTATGATGTGGCCTAAAACCAGATTGGAATTTTTCATGTATTTGATTCCTATGTAAAAAGGAGCTTAACTGTTTTGCTACAACTTTTTCCAAGATCTTAGATATAAAGGGGAGATTCGAGATGGGTCTATAATTTGAAAGTTCGCATGGATCGAGGTTAGCTTTCTTAATCAGCGGTCTAATCACTGCTAGTTTAAGAGATTTTGGGATGTACCCAAGGCTAAGAGAAGAGTTTATTATTGACAGAATAGGCTTGGTTATTTCTGGCAGAATTTCCTTGAGTAAACCTGTAGGAATCGGATCTAGCATACAGGTAGATGATTTCGCGGAAGAGACTATTTTAAATAGTTCATTTTCTTTTTTTTCTATTAATCTTATTTAATTTGTCAGCCTCCTTTCTTTACTGAATCTATAGGCTCAGTTTCTTATTTTTCATTTCCAGGTGATATTATTGACATTCTTGATTGTAAATTACATCTTCCAAAAAAAAAGCTGGGACAGGTTGAGTGGTGTGGCTGATTTAGGCTGGAACTTAACTGTGGGCAGAATGGTGATCTCTGAAGTCCATATACGTTCACTCTTGCAAGTCATGTAAATTTTAATAAATAAAATACATAATTTTTAAAATGATATAGCAAAGAAACTCTCAGTCATGCATGAAATAACATAGAAAATGAATACAGTTCCTTTTTAAACCCATATTGAGCATTAAAAGGGTAGTGATACAAAAGATTTTTATTCAGAAAGTAAGAAAAAAATGATCAAAATAAGGATTTGTGATGATCAAAAACAAGTTAATAGAGGAATTTGTGGAATCCTGAATGATGAAAGTAATTCATTCCAAAGATACAGAAAATAAAACTCTAAATAAAAATATAAATACTCTACTTTTAATGTAAGTCAGTGGAACCACACGTTTTTCCAATGGTTTCCAATATAGAGCCATGAAATTTATACACAATGTAAAGGGCAAGAGGAATTTTTTAAATTATGTCAAAAACTGAAAAACACCAAGAATGGAGATAGAAGGTTTAGTCTCTACAGCGGCGATATACTCATACTCATATTCGATCTATAAGAAATGTTATTGATGCATCTCTAGTTTTGTTGTGGAGGGGGAGGAGACGCACATAGATATTTCTATGAAATGCTCATTTTTCATCTCAGTGTCCAGTGCAGGCAGCAGTTTGGTCTTGCTGACCAGAATAGAAAAAGTAGCTGGAACAAACAAACAAAACTTTGTTTCTGGTCTAAATGCTGAAACACGCTGCACAGAAGCATATATATTCTCATATTTCACGTGACGTCACACTGTATATTCGACGTCATTTTGAGGACTGAATCAGGGAGTGACAGCTGTAGTGCGATGCCTTCAATTTGCTGTGTGAATGATTCACCTGAAGCCGAGAGACACACAGACCTTTAATTCAGTGTTCTCAAACTCCAGGCTTGGAATGTTTATTACAGCTGACTAGACCAGGGAAACAAAAATTATGCAGTGCAGGGGTTGCAGGACTGGAGCTGAACTCTGCACTAACTGCACTAGCAAACCTCTGTCAAAACACAATGTAGTTTTCCGACCCACAAGATTCAGTCTTATATTTAATGTTTATGTTTCTCCATTTAAACGTCATTTAAATCTCCAGTCAGAGAGTAAAGTTATACCCGGCTGTTTGCAGCTCCGTTAGGGGAACGACTGTTTATCTCTCGGCTGTTAACATTAGCAAAAGTTATCTAAAGGCTAACATTGTTCACATCTGTGTTAATCAGCTGATGTTGCCTTACCCTCCTATGATGATAGAGTTTTTTCTCCTCTTTATGCCACACCATGGGATCCTTCACCCACCCAGACGTGAAGAGCCAGTGGGCTTCTGTGCTTTTAAATGCTATGAGAGACTCTCCAGTATAGGGAGAGGGGCTGTGTATAAGATAAATGTAAATGTCAAGAAAAGACAAACTTTCTGCCAGTTTAAATGGGAGCAGCAGTTTGGGGGAAACTGTAAAAGAATCACAGCCTATTTTATCAACTGTTTTGAGGTAATGTTTTTTACTAGTTATGTTCGTGCGGAGCAGCAAAGCCAGAAATTCGGTCCCAAATATGGCAGCCACAACAGAAAAATCACGTGACTGAAACCCTAGGATACAGCCTTTCAGAATGCAACTGACAAAATCCTGTGGCCAACACCGAGTGCAAAATATATCACACGCTCTGTTTCCATGTGGGCGCAGCAACTGAGGCTGGGACTACTTTTATCACAATCTTTACAACAGGTGTTGTCACAAAGCAGCTTTACAGAAAAATCCGGGTCCGAGCCCCCATGAGCGTCACCAATGGTGACAGTAGCAAGGAAAAACTCCCTAAGAGCAAGAGGAAGAAACCTTAAGAAGAACCAAGGCTCAAAAGGGGGACCCATCCTCCTCTGCTTGACACCGGATAGCAAACATCATTAGTAT